TTAATAATAATAATATTTGCCATAGTTGCTTCACTAGGCATGCGGGTTAGCAACCATAGTTTTTTTTAGTTCCTATTGTCCTGTTAAAGTTAAGGTTACAGCATATATACGTCCCACTGCTGGGCACAGGCATCCCCTCATTTCTGAGAGGGTTTTAGGGCAACGAAGTGTTCGCCGCGCTGCCCCATTGCGTCTTGGCGAACTTCACATGTCTTCGAAATATTTTTTCTTATTTCTCAGACATGTTTGTCAGACAGGTTTTCTCACGATGTTTTTCTTCACTGCCGAGTACGTGGTAAATCAGTACTTAAAATTGCAATTAACAATTTCATTAGTGCCGGCGTGGAACGAACCCCATTTGCTCGCGTACTGTAAAATTAAGAGCTACCTAGCGCTAACCATCTGAGCTACCAAGGTTTATACTTATATATATATATATATATATATATATATATATATATATGTATATATGTATATATATATACACACACAAGCTGACCAGGCAGACGTTGTTCTGCCCTTTCCGACGACCATGTATCCTAAAAAAATCCTTAAATACACAATCAAATTAATTGAGGGTCACTTATTGGGATAAAAACTATCCTATTTCTCAAGTTGGCTCAAACTGCACACATAGTGAAACATTTCATTGAAATTAGTTCAGTAGTTTAGGAGTTCATCGTGCACAAACAATGTGACACGTAATTTTTATATATAAAGAATAAATATTAAAATTTAAGAAAATTGAAAAATCACGCATTGATCATAAACTGTGATGATTTTAGAGAGATTAGAGAGAGATTATGGTGATTCTGATTAGAATACTGGAATAAAGTTATTAAATTATTGTATTGTCTTTGGTCCTTGATATGAGTGCACACTTTCAAATCAATCGGACGTCTACAAGTTGATGAAAAATACAATAAAAGATTTCGTTTTATATATAGATACACGCGAAGCCTTTAAAAGCTTATTAAAAAGACAAGTCCCGATTCAATCACTCACTCACTCATTGTAATCACTCACTGCCTTATCAACGCGCATGTGCAGCCCAAATCCTTAAACAAAAGAAGAAGAACATGAAGAAAGAGGATTTGTAGCTTCGCTGTGTTTTCATATTATAATATCATCCTCCAGCAATCAATAAATTCAATGATCCGGTCCATATTCAGTAATATAATAAGGGTAAATGGGTAAACTGTATTCAGTAATGGCACACATGGTACGGTAAAAAAATAGTTTAGTGCCTTGGGTAGAAATTATAAACAAAAAATTCAATAAGTAAAATTAGTGACTTCCAATTCCACACGAGCGAAGCTGCAGGTGGTCGCTAGTATAATATATAAATTAACAAATTATGTATTAAATTTTACTATATTAAACGGGATGTATCTTTTGAATATGTTACCGTATGGTGCAGTATAAGAATATCCACTAATCCATAACGTCCCGTGAGTATCGTAAGAGGCGACAGAGGGAAACAAATCAGGAGATAGGCAGCAGCGTCTTCCTAACAACGATGAAAAATTAAAAAGCGGTTGTCAACCCGCCTGCTAAGCGCAACAACTATGGCAAAATCCTCCCTATGATGCAATCTACGGGAGAGGCCTATGTTCAGCAGTGGACTTTTATAGACTGTAGAAGAGATCTTTTCAATCCGATGTCGAAATTAACCGACGTATTATCATTAAACAAAATTTTGCAGTTTCTCAAGATCAACGCCTGGTAAACGTAGTTTAAAGACTCTTTAAGCTATCAAGTACAAATGTTTTCTTTCTGGTGCATCAGAATCTACAAGTACACAGTGTCATTGTACTAGACGGTTGTAATGCTGCATAATTTATGCCTCTCCCAAGTTTGCAATGTTTGCTTTTCCATTGAAGTTTGATTTACAACTCAATAAGTAAAACATGAGGCAATTTTTACAATTATTTCGTTATAGTTGAAGCTTTCTATGATTTGATATTAACACTTGATTGATATCGATAGTTAAGGTAAAATTAATTTCTAGCTTTTCTTTTATAAAAGAGAAGGTAAACGAGCATACACCTCACCTAATTGTAAGTGATTGCCGTCGCCCATGAACACCATCTGCAACACCAGAGGAAGTAGTTCCTAAACATTGTGCGTGACAGAACATTTTGTGTAAAACGCATGGCTGTGATTCAACCATCAATAGTGAGGATGATATTTAAAGTTTTATCACGGTGTGTTATTATGGCATTCAGCTGCTAGAATTAGTCCGAACAATTCCTATGAGCACACCTTGAGGTATATGCGATATAGAGGATACACAGAAATACAAAATCTATTCTCATTGAATCAAGCCGATCAACAAGAACTTGCTCGTCGATAATCGATCGAATCCAATTGGTAATTCCTAGTGAGGAATGAGCTGGCTAGTATTCTAAATGAGGCAGAACCTGCGCTTTGTAACTCTGCAAGCGGTGAAACCCCCTCTCGAACTACTGAGTACATTTAGCTTGGTAGATTTATGCAGCAGTTATATTATAGTTGTAGCACGAATGACTCCACACACTAGGTCCAGGGAAGGACCACACACACTACATATTACCAGCATAAAATATCAGCATGATATTGTTGTGTTTCGTATAGTGAGGTTAGAGAACCGGAAACATCTGTGAGTCTGATAGACAAGAAGATCACATGCTGAGGGATCTCGATGGAAACCGTATTTAACATCTGATGCTTCTCGAGGTACCTACCTCATATGCTGTTCGGGCATTATAATTTTCTTCGGATTGTCTGTGAGCACTGCGCTAGTGACATCTTGCATTTCGGCTCTTGACTGTCAGATGGTTCGGGGCGCGTTCGGACGGTGTATGCGACCACGCGTTTATAATTAATAATATTATATACTATTAAATGGTTATTCGGAAGATTTTTGTGCTAATTAATATAAAGTACATTCGATTGTATTGTGTACATTCTCAAACATATTTGCGGTTTATAACCACCATTGTGAAGAAGATTGCAAGGATAGCAGCAACGAACCTCCGGCCGGAGACGTCTCTAGGATCACACCGCTTCGCCATAGAAAGCAGGTTAGTCCTTTTGACTTTTCGGGGTGATTATGATGCCTAAACCACCACGCGAGCAAATCCCTGGATAATCTTGCCCACTGCTTAATAAGCTGTGAAAGGCTCGCAAATAGCGTGAACATAAGCTAAGAGTTAATAATGGCAATAAGCTAGAACTAATAATGGAAATAAGATTTAATAACGGTGGGCGGATCTGAGTGGTTGCTTTATTTAGAGATCGAGAAAGGAGAACGCTGTTTACCATGGGCTAGGGACGACGTCCAAAAGAGTAAGAGTATCGAAAAAGATGCATAAAAGCCGGTGCCAACTTTGAGGCACACACAATATTGTATCTCCCAAATCAGACTTGGGAGATACAATATGGCCCACTCGATTTTATATGGAACCTGCAAGATTGGCTTTCTCCTTTGTGGCATGGGTCAGTGAGTTGCCCTACCTTTGTAAAGATGGAAGAGATAGCAATTTTGCAGGAGCAATTAAACCATTACGATGCGCTGACCTATAATACCACATATGGCGGCAACGTACAGATCGCGCCTGCGATTAACATGTGATGGGTACCATACTTGGAATAAGGTGGTGGTCCCAAAAATCAAGAGGGGCATCGATGGAGACCTGATAGCTCTCCGGTTGAGAGGTCAATAGAAGGTCTAACAGGGAAGGTGCATGGTGCAAGGAATATACGAAAGACATCAGGAATCAGCCTCGGCGATATGACCATTTGTGTCAGACAGATTTTCCTTTAGGATCGGTTACAAGAACCCAACCATTCAGCATAGTAGGCGTTGAAATCAACCAAAGATCATGATCTCTGCGGATAACTGTAGCAGCGAATCTGTAGCCATTTGGGCGTGGTCGATGACTCGGTCTATTCCGCGATTATCGCTGTGGGACCTATAAAGAACGAACTATATTCCTTCTCATGTGCAGTCTTTGACTGCAGTAGCCACTAACCGTTAGGAGTCCGTGGACTGCTGCAGCCTAAGACTGTGTATGAAATGATTTATTTATTAAATGTTGCTTTTTATTGAAAGTTTAATCTTTGATCTTTTGATTGCACTTAGAATTATTATCTTAGTTCAATTTAACTGCTATGTAGATGGAGTGACGACCTGGTAAAACATGCAGGAAGTCAATGGAGGCAGGTGGCTCAGGACCGTGCTTTGTGGCATTCCTTGGGGGAGGCCTATGTTCAGCAGTGGACTTGTGAAGGGCTGTAATGATGATGATGATAAATGTAATATCTAGAATATTGTCTAAATAGTTACATTAAAAACCACATCCCTATTTTCCCACCCTTAGCGATATAATATTTTTTCATCAAGCTTTTAACGGACCACCCCTGTGAAGAGTTTAATAAAAAATAATCTTTAAAATCGGTTCATAATTGACGAAGATATCTCGTATCATACAAAAACGTACAATAATATTGAAAACCTTATTTTTTTTGATGACGGCTAAAATATTTTTTTCAATTATATCATTTCATAACATCTCAAGCAATCTCGGGGAAGCCTTCGAGCATATATTTCAACAATGCGATATCTGACAATTATCATGCAAATCAATTGTAATAGGTGAAATTTTTAAAAAGAATACCATGTGGGTACTGGGTATACGCTCGGAACGTGCCGCACAAAGAGCTTGTAATTGACTCCGTACAAGTTCATTAGTTACAGCAAGAGAAAATACGACGCGATTTGTTTAACTTTACGAAAACAAAGGATAACTTTTCTCCGTGCAACAAATATGTACTGTATTTAAAACACCAAGGTATTTACTGGCTCGCACTGGCACTGCAAACATCTGTAGGACAGACATTTTCGATATAGTGTTGATAAAACTTTTATATTCAAGTATAACCAGCTATAATTTAATTATAATTTTGTATTCATTATACTGTATTGATTGTTGTGAAAAAAAAAAACACGAATTAAAATGTTAAGAGCAATACTGATATTATTTGTATTTATAGGCTGTTCTTACTGCTTAGATAGTAATGATTTGCTTGTAGAAGAAACAAGGGCAAAAAATAAGAAAGATAGAACTAAATTGTTAGGTAAGTATAATTGTTATTTAATATTATTATAGTACCTTCCTTATAATGTCATTTAATATTATAAAACCTTACATAATTTAATGCTCACCTGGTTGAGTGATTATAAATACATCGCCACTTACTACCAGGTGGGATTGTGGTAAAGCACTTTCATAAAATAATTAAATAATTAAAAATTAAAAATATTGCACAACCGACTTCAATATAAACTATTAAGAATAACTCAAAAACTATTGGTCAGACTATGATCATGGGACCACAGGTGAAGCACCAGCTTTCAAATAAAATAATAATCATCGAAATCGGTTCACCCAGTAAAAAGTTATGAGGTAACACATAAAAAAACATACAGTCGATTGGAGTACCGTCTCTTTTTTGAAGTGGGTAGAAAAAAGGTTAGTGATTTACGTGCAAAACAAATACATTCAATAATGCAGTAACGCAATAAGCTTCGAGATAACTTCGAATACAATATCACTAACTCGAAAAGTCATGGGTATTTTGGATTCAGCATATACGAGCATAGCTGCTATCATTCGGAAGTAAGACCTTTCTAACATATCCCAAAGTCGCCTCTTACGACAGCCACGGAAGCAAACGTGGTAGTGGATTAAGCTTATGTGCTGTACTGTGTCTGAAACCGAAGAAATATATAAATAAAGAAAAAATTGTGCGTGTAATTATGTACACACGTACGAAGTGACGTTTATTTATGTCATATTTTTTTTTATAAGATAAGGCTAACAAACGAGCACACAGTTCACCTGATGGTAAGTGGTTGCTGTGGCCCATAAACATCTACATCTATCTTCAACTACGAATCAAAATACAGATGCGTTGTCACCCGTGAGGACTAAGATGGAGTGCTTCGTTTTCAGTAAAAGGGTGAGTCTCCGGTTCTCTACACTCACCATACGAAACACAGCAGCGTTGATATGTCCTTTTACGCTGGTATTCTGTGAGAGCTTGGTCCTTCCCCAGTCGAGCCGACACATTCGTGCTACATTCATACCAATAATGTAGCTGCAGCATTACTTTCCCACGTATATGAGGTAAGTAGGTTAAATAATGATTTTTAACAGTGGTAGAGCGACGCGGTAGCTTTTGCTGTCGCACGGATGGGCCGGCTCGAACCGGGGTGGTACCACGACCTCACAGAAAACCAGCGTGAAGTAGAAGTTTACCTCTGCGTTTCGCTTGGTGAGTGCAGGTGGCCGGAGGCCCTTTTTACTGGAAATGAGGCATTCCATCTCAGTCCTCACGGGTGACAACGCATCTACATTTTGATTTGTAATAGAAGATAGATGTAGATGTCTATGGGCCGCAGCAACCACTTACCATCAGGTGGACTGTGTGCTCGTTTGTCACCCTTATCCTATAAAAAAAATAATGATATACTCATACAACCCCCGCGAAGGAACGTTACAATAAACACACATTTACATTTTTTATGTGGTAGAACCACGTTGCAGCTATATTATGGTTGTCGCACCAATCATTCGGCTAGACCGGGGAAGGGCCACGCTCTCACAGAATACCAGCATAAAATAGCAGTTTCATATTGCTGTGTTTCTAATGGTGAGTGTAGAGAACCGGAGACTCGTTTTATTGGAAACGAGGCATTCCATCTTAGTCCTCAGAGGTGCATTTTGATTCTTTATCGAGGATAAATCAAGATGTCTATGGGTCACAGCATCCACTTACCATCAGATGAACTGTGTGCTCGTTTGTCACCCTTAATCTATATAAAAACAACTTTCATCATTAACGATCACATTTACTACAATCTTTAAAACATTTAAGTCTTATAAATTCATATTTCGCTCCAACATAGCAAAATTTTGTTTTCTAACTCAGCATTGTAATTTCTATGCTAATAAGAGTAAATAAAAAGTTGTGTTGGCTCAGCTAAAGTAAATAAAATACATTTGTATGAAAACATTAGTTACGTAGTAAACTAGCGAGGCCTCTTCTCTCAAGTAACTCAACCTAGATGCGGCATTTGTATAATCGTAGGCACTCTACTGCGCTTGGGAGATAGCTAAATTGTGGTAATCCCATGCGGCTTAGCTCCCCTCGTGAGAAATATAATAATATTTATCACGAGCATTAATTAAGTGTGTATTTTAAGTAAAGAATTTGACATTAATCACTTCAATAGTAAAGTATTTATTACTATATAACTATATAAACTGCCCACAACTTCTAAGTAAAATTAATATACATGTGCCAAATAAGTTGCCGCACTTTAAGGTTTACAAGCTTTTTAAAGAACGTCTCCATAAAAGTAATTTACGTCGTAACTTCTCACTTACCAGTATAATGTAATTATACAACCATATGCCAAAATCCATAAAAATAAATTTAATGCATACTGCGTTGTCCAGTTTTAAGCATTTAATCCGTAAAAAATTCAAAAATATATCATAAAATTAGTAGATTTATGTAATGTAGACTGTAAGCATTGACTTCACAAACTGTAACTGTAGAGAATCAAGTTTTAATACACAGGGGCTTTTTTTGCAATAATAACTGGCTCAATTTGCAGAGAAGGTTCAGAATAAATTATATAGGCAAATAGTGAAGAAAAATAAAAAAAAATAGAATTTCATACATTTTTATCTTTTAAATTCTAAATGCGTGGTGATGCATTATTTTAACTGATTTTCCTACGCACGCACACATTCGTAGGGGTCGATCGGTAGGCAATTATATTCCATTTGGGATAATTCTGTAATATAAAAATGAATCGCTGAATGTGTTGCTAAGCGCAAATCTCGAGAGCAGCTGAACCGATTTCGCTAATTCTTTTTTTATAATATTCCTTGAAGTACGAAGATGGTTCTTACGGAGAGAAAATTTAAAAATTGCCTGAAAAAGTCTAAAAACCACACTTTTCTATATTTCTATACAAAAGATTCGTAATAATACTTAAACGTCAATTTGAACTTTAATACCATACCATAACATAAAATTTAACTGTTAGTGGAGGGGTTCCGGAAAGGCAAAACTATTGAGTGACGTTAGTATCGTATAATTATTAAGGTCAATATTTGTCAATATTTATAAGATGGTAACATTACTCAAAAACAAAATTAGGGTTCTGCGCAAATAATTGATATCCATGAAATCGTAGTAAATTCCACGCGGGTGAAGTCGCGGGGCACAGCTAGTTTCAAATAAAAGTAGATGCTTTACTTATTCATATTTTCAAAAAGTGCATTAACGGTATATTTATATATTTGAACTTAAGCTTAAAATTTGGCTACTATTTGAAAAATAACCCTGTATATTTTGTATATTACATTGTTTATTTCTTTTTTAATTCACTTGTCTATTTATGTAAGTTGTAGCTACCTATAAGAGGATGAACACATAGCATGTAGACCTTGCAGTTGGTGATCCAAGAAAAGAGAAAAAAAGAAATAGTAAAGTGTACGTACGTCTCACTTCTGGTTAAGGCCTGTCTTCATATTTAACAGCGTTTTGGTGCAATTAAGACCTGATACTGTCCAATGCATTTTAGCGGGCTTCACATATACCTACTCATTTTTTTTCCAGAGAGGTTTCTTTACGGTGGTTTCTTTCACTACTTTTTTCAGTCCCTAAAAATATTTCCCCAAGAATACACGTCGGAAACTTTCTAATATTGACGGTACCTAATTATCGTTTTCGTAGAAGACCATAAGAGCCATAAGTGTCCTTGCTAAACATAAATCCACTCACCCATCCTAACCTACCAGCGTCCAATGTAACGCTTAAAATATTATACGTGGTAGAGCCATGCTGCAGTTATATTAATAGTACAGTTGTAGCACGAATGGATCGGCTCGATCGGGGAAGGACCACGCTCTCACAGAATACCAGCGTAAAATAGCAGCTTAACGCTGCTGTGTTTCGTATGGTGAGTGTAGAGAACCGGAGACCCTTTTTTAATAGAAAAGAGGCATTCTATCATAGTCCACACGGCTGACAACGCATCTGCATTTTAATTCGCAATCGAGGATAGATGTAGTTGTCTATGGGCCATAGCAACCACTTACCATCAGGTGGACTGTGTGCTCGTTTGTCGCCCTTATTCTAGTAAAAAAGCAAGTGAACGTGATTTCCTATGAGGAAGACTTATGTTCAGCTGTGGACTAGTGATGGAATATAATGAGGATGCTGTGATGACATAGGTGACAGCATGAGCTCTCTGTCCTTTTCCAAATTAGAAACTTACAACATTCACAGTCCGGTCTTACACCATCACAACATAGTATAATCTATACAAGTGTCTGTGTTGAAGTGTCTGTCTGTTATATTGAAATAACTGGCTTCTAATAATAAACACTGGCATGCTATTAGGACATAAGTAAATGCGTGAGTGTCGTGGAACACCCGGTTGGAACGAAGTTCCTTGCGTAGTATATTATAATTGATTAACGTAGGTATTATATTATTGATTAACAAATGCAAATAACTGATTTACTAGCGTTTATTAAAATGAAGCGTCATTTGAAATAAAATAATATTTCTTTCATGGCAAGATAAGAAAAAGTGCGAGGGATATAGATATTATTCCAAAAGTGTGAGAGTGATATCGAAAGAAGAGTGAATGCAGGAAACATGGTGAATAGAGCTTTGCACTCCTTTGCGAGCAGTTAGAAGGTATCTAACAAGGCTCATTTGGCTGTGCATGAGGGGGTGTTGGTTCCGACATTCATGTACGGAAGTGAAGTTGGGTATGGCAGAAGAAACACGAAAGCAGAATAAATGCAGTTGAGATCAGAGCGTTAAAAAGTATGATAGGAGTTTAACTAAGTGACAGGATAAGAAATAGTGAGATAAGGAAACGTGGTGGTCTGAAAGAAGATGTAGTGACAAAAATTGAGAAAGGTATGCTGAGATGGTTTGGCCATGTCGAGAGAATGAATGAAGAACGATTGACGAAAAAAGTGTATAAGGCGAGTGTGAATGAAAGTGCTGGAAGGAGTAGACCTAGGCGGACATTTCAAGACCAAATCAGGGACGTCTTGAAAAAAGGCCAGATCAAGAGCACCCTAAACCGTAGAGCATGTATGAAGAGAATAATGAAAGTGGATGAAGCGAAACAAGTATATAAGGATTGTAGCAAGTGGAAAGAAGTGGTCTCTGCCTACTCCTATTGGAAAGAGGCGTGATTATATGTATGTATGTATGTATTTCTCCGCCAAGGCCGTCTACACTATGACATAAGGGGCAGTGACGAAAAAATCTTACAAATTTTGTCGCCTAGCTCCCATCCGTCAAAGCCGTATCGTCCAATAAAAACTTCGTTCCAATAAACAATTTTAAATTTTTTGTCTATCTATGTCTGTGTATCTATACAGGCTCATCTTCGGAATGGCTGAATTTTTTTAGCGATTATGATAAAGCCTTACAAACATAGAAAATAATGCCGGAAGGGATCTAGTTTAAATTTTATCCGAAATATTGACATTAATAGATTATATCCAGGCACAGCCGGGGTGGATCTTTAGTCATAAATAATCTGTTTGAATAACATGTATTGATAATTAAAATAACATTTCAGGTATGATACTCCTGTTTATCTTCTCCAAAGTGGCGATATTTAAAGCGACTTCTGCATTCTTCATGATGGCGTTCTTCCAAAAGCTGTTCTATTTGTTTGTTCTATTCCTGAACTATTTCCTAAAAAGCAAGTCTCCAAAACCCACACCATCACCTGTCTATGGAGCGCCTTCAGACTACAACACAGTCGAATACAGTTATGGACCATCAGAACACGAGTCGTTACGTTCTCAAGACAATGGCTATCCAGGCATTTTTGAATTTGGAGGTGCCTTTGACTGGCTTGTAAATAAAAATTTCAAGGGATATAACTAAACAGCTGATATTTATTTAATATTGTATTATTTTTCATCTGCCTCTTTTTTATCATGGAGGTATTACATAAACATAAATTGCACTTAATCAAACCAAAATTCTACTGTATACGCACACGCGCGCGCGCGTGTGTGTTTGTGTGTGTGTGTGTGTGTGTGTGTGTGTGTGTGTGTGTGTGTGTGTGTGTGTGTGTGTGTGTGTGAGTGTGTGTGTGTGTGTGTGTGTGTGTGTGTGCGTGTGTGGGTGTGTGTGTTTGAGTGTGTGTAAGCATGGATAAGTTATTTGGTAGATTAATATTGTAAGGCAAAAGTAAATCTATTTCATCGTAGCCAATACTGCTGAGCTACATTGATACTTTGTTTTTGATACCATAGTTGTTATATTTTTCCCCTTAAAAACACAAACTTATTGTACAGTAAGGAATCCACATATATGCAATATATGAAACCACAAGTAATACTAGTCTATAGAAGTGTAGCAAAATTAAATATTAAATTAAAACCCGTAAATTAAAAAAGTGAAACTTTCAAAAAAAAATATTGAAATAAATTTATTAAAAGTAAATACTCTGTTAAGACTAAGTACCTTGACCCCTTGGAAGAGTAGCAACGCGAACGAGCGGGTGTCATAGCGGTTGGCGGCCGGCAGCGTTATTGTGGGCACGGTGTTTGATTCGTTTGACAATGTGCGACGAAATAAAAACTTACTCACTAAATTGTTTAGGTATTTTTAACGCTACTTTTTTATTTCGCGATAATGGAACTGAACGACATAAACATTATTGCATATTAGTTGCAAAATTTAATGGAAGCCAAAATTTTAAAATTTTCAAAATATCCGCCACGTTCTTGAATGCACAAGTTACATCGCCGCATAATGTGGCGTGGAACAAGAACGTGGTGGATATTTTGAAGCCTGCTCAACAAATTTCGTTCAGGATCCAGAGCCAGGGCTTTTAGTTTGTCAAAGGCGGCAACAATACGATTGCGCAGTTCATCTTCGGTTTCGGAGATCTTTGAGTGCACTTTATTTTTAATAAAGCCCCATAAAAAGAAGTCTAGAGGAGTGAATTCGGGCGACCGAGCTGGCCACCTGCGAGGGCCATAGCGTCCTATCCATTGTTCGTCGAACATGGTGTTAAGCCGCTCTCTCGCGAGGAGTACGGAGTGGGGAGGAGCTCCATCTAACTGGAAACATACCTACTCGTAAGCTGCCACAGACAATCCTTATAAATATTCTGTTATTGGGCCGTTAAGAATATTGAGAAATTTCTGTGCATTCAGTTTTCCGTCAATAAAAACAGGGCCGATTATTTGATCTCCGTGCTTGCCCAAACATTAATGGAAAATCGGTATAGATGAGCTGATTCCCTAAATAAATGGAGATTTGTATGGCTCCAGTGACGCATGGTTTGTCGGTTCCATATGCCGTTTCGAGTAAACGTGCTTTCATCTGTCCAAAGCACATTTGATAGGAAACGTTGGTGAGATTTTTCCAGGACCCAGTGGCAGTAAGACTCTCTAATCGGCTTATCATCGGGTAGCAGCGCCTGCACCTTAATATATTTATAAGTACGTAGTTTGTTCCTTTTCAGCACTCAGTGAATTGTTCTATGCCTCACTCTAAACACACGCCTAGCTTGCTTGTCTAAGGCTGCAGGTTGGATTCCGATCGAAATGGTTCAAACGAGGGTGGAAGGAAAGTAATGCGGAGCAACTCCTTCATAAGTGTAGGGAACTACGCGCTGATTTTCCGTGATTCTTTCGACAGCACCTAGGATTGTCCGGATGATAGTAGGACAGATGCAAGTTGCGCCGTATCTCTCACGATAGTAACGCAGAGTTAACGCTGAATTTTGGCGGCATGTCTGTATACTCTGTCGCACTGTAAAAATTCTGTTGTCTTGGCATTTTCCACCGCCAACACGTACACACAAAAGTCAAGTAGTGTCAATAATACAGTGAAAAAATAGTAAAAATAGACGTACTTAAGACAATATTTACACACACAAAGTCAGTTAAGTAATAAGTGTCCATTTCACCATAAAAAAATTGTTTGACTAATTGTATTTATATTACAAAAAATAAACCACTTGAAGCAATGCGCGTAAGCAGCGAAACGCATTAGTATCCTGGAAGATTTGCGGTGAACTGAAAGCGAAACTTCCAATTTCCAAAATGGCGATAATAATAAAAGTAATAAATAGAGCGTGCACAAGGCGCAATTATCGTTTATCGATACTTTTCTTTTTACACTTACTCACCTACTACAAGACATTTGAATACAAGTAATTTTGATTTTTGATTTGATAACAATTGACAAGTTATTGATTGTTAAAAAAAGTTTATTTTTGCACAATTGAACTTACGAAACTACTGTTTTGTGACTTCCTAAGAAACGGGTAAGTATGACTTTTTTAATTGGTTGTTTTTATGGGTTTTTTATTAAGTCAAAATAATTTATTATCTCTAAATCTACAAGAAAACATTTAAATAAAAAAACTTTAATTAGCTTTAAATACTTAGGTCGTAGTGTTTTTAGAATTATCATAAAGGGCACGATAATTCTAAAAAAATACTTTTTTCTTTATAGGAGAGGGGGCAAACGAGCATGCGGCTCACCTGATGGTAAGTGACTACCGCCGCCCATGAACAGCTGCAACACCAGGGAGGGAATCGCAGATGCGTTGCCGGCCTTTTAAAAAGGAGTACGCTCTTTTCTTGAAGGTCCCTAAGTCGTATCGTTACGGAAAAATCGCTGATGGTAATCGATTCCACAAGGAAGTCATGCGAGGAAGAAAACATCTTCTAAATCGCACAGTGGTGGACCGCCAATCATCCAGATGGTGTGGATGGTATCGGTTCTGCCGCGATGTGCGTTCGTGAAATTTGGCGGCTGGGATTAATCCGAACAATTCCTCAGAGCACTCCCCGAGGTAGATGCGAAAGAAAATGCAAAGGGATGCAACATCTCTTCGCAGTGCCAATGAATCGAGCCGAGTGACCACGAAACTGCACGTCACTCGATATATCGACTCTGAGGATTCCGATACTGGTTGAGGCAAGAAGGGGAGTGCCTTGAAACTGAGAAGATACGACAAAGGGGTTCTTTTTAGCGGTAAACGCGTAAACTTGTGTCTTCTGAGGATTAAACTGGACTAGATTTAGTCGCCCACAATCCGAGATTTTGCTCAGCAAAGACTCGACTTCAGACACAAGTTTGTTCCGGTACTCGGCGACGTTTTCCCGAGAAATATTGGCACGGCCGGTGTATAGAGCATCACTAGTGCTGTCATCCGCATAGCGATGAATGTTACCAGTTAGCAACATATCATTGATATGCAGAAGAAACAGCGTTGGTGATAGCACACAGCCTTGTGGAACACCAGCGTTAATAGGCTTGTAGTCGGAACATGCACCGTCTACAACGACCTTGATGCTCCGATCTGCAAGGAAACTGGTGATCCAATCGCACAATTTCTCGGGAAGCCCATAGGAAGGGAGCTTCGAAAAAAGCGTTTTGTGCCAAACCCGATCGAAGGCCTTCGCAATGTCCAAACTAACGACCAACGCCTCCCCCTTGGACTCTACTGCCTCCGCCCATCTATGGGTCAGGTAGGCCAGAAGATCACCAGCTGATCGACCCCGACGAAAACCGTATTGGCGGTCACTAATCAGCTGGTGATCCTCAAGGTACCGCATGAGCTGGCAGTTAATAATGGATTCCATTATTTTGGAGAACAAGGAGGTGATCGCGACAGGCCTATAGTTGGACGGGTCTGAGCGGTCGCCTTTTTTAGGGATCGGGTGGACAAAAGCTGTTCTCCATGAATTCGGGACTACGCCTTGGGAGTAGGAGTACCGGAAAAGACGCGTTAGGACCGGTGCCAACTCCGGAGCACACGTCCTAAGCACAATTTGGGGGATTCCGTCAGGCCCACTCGACTTCTGGATGTCCAGGGAGAGGAGTGCTTTGCGAACAGAGTGCTGTGAGAACAGCACATCCGGCATGGAGCACTCACACCGCGGGATGGCCGGCGGTGTTTTCCCCCCGTCATCAAGAGTCTATTTGGACGCAAAAAGGGAGCCTAAAAGGTCGGCTTTGTCTTTTGCGTCTTGGGCCAGTGAGTCGTCCTCCCTGTGCAGAGATGGTAGTGATGGCTTACAGAAATTCCCTTGAACAGCCTTGGCGAGAGATCAGAAAGCACGAGTTCCCGTTAACGAAGGCGAACTAGTTTCTCGCCAATTCTGCCTATGTGCTCTGACTTTGCCTTGGCAATAACTCTTTTGAAGGACCTGGAGGCAAAGTTATACTTCTTTTTAAGTGTGATTACTGCGTAATGCAGTCGTATAAGAGCGACCAAACCAAGGCTGAGATCTGCTTCCGATGGGTACCACAGATGACGGAATAAATAGTTACATTCACTGTAGCACCACATCTGTGACAGAGTCAGCAACAGCGCTGAGGTCATCCAGCGAGAAGCAAACCCGCCCCCATAAGTAGGATGCAAAGAAAGACCGCATTCCGTCCCAATCCGCCGACCTTTAATGCCAAACACGGCGGTAACCTGCAGAACGCAACCGCGAGGGGAGCGTGAGTGGCACCACACTCCGGATCAGACAATAGTCCGAAGAGCCGAGATCGACGGAAACCTGATATCCGTCCGGATGAGAGGTCAGCAGAAGGTCCAACAGGGAAGGTGTATGATCCTCCACATCTGGAATCCGCGTAGACGAAGTAACCTATTGTGTCAGACCATATGCCAAAGCAAAGTCATAAACAGATCTCCCCGCATGATCGGTTAAACGTGAACCGAGCCATTCGGCATGGTGGGCGTTAAAATCGCCAAGGATCACGATCTCTGCGGACGGGACCTGTTATAGCAAAGAATCTGTAGCCTTTTGGACGTGGTCAATGAGTCGGTCTGTTTCGGCATTACCGCTATGGGACCTATAGAGGCACCCGTAGACGCGCGGATGGTCGTCGCTGTCTACGCGTAG